AGCCCCTGCCCGGGCTCCAGCCAGAGTGTCTGGGACTTGGCCCCCGGCAGGCCCCTGGTGCTGACTGTCCAGACAGCATGCCTCATCTCCAGCTCAGCCCTGCCACCTCGTGTGGCCCACCTGCACAGCCTCTACTGACTACGTCCTGGGCAGCTCCCCGAGGAAGCCTGGGTGCCCCAACATTCAGGGGTGCCTGCTCCTCACTTCCTAGTGACTTGGGTACGAGAATTTCCTCACCTCTCTGCTATAAAGTGACTTTGCGGGTAAGAAAATCATAGCCAGCCACGTACTGAACCTAGAGGCAGGGAGGCCGGGTCCACACACCGTACAGTATAATGCGGGCTGGTCTTCCCGACGCGAGTCTGACTTGGCTCACCCTGGTCACATGCCACTGCGAAGGCAGGCCAGAGTCCGTGCGGTTACCTGCTGCCTGCCTCCCAAAGCAGGCTTTAAATAAGGGCTAGGGCCAGATCCCCAGATAATCACCCTGCAGAACCTGGGAGCAACCAGGGAGCAGACACGTGAGCACTAGGGGCTGTGGGGGAGTCTTTCTCTCTAGTAGTTTCTAGTGTGACATGGTCCAGACCAGGCCTTAGGGCTCTCAAAGGCCTGGATCTGAGCAGCTTTAGAAATGCAGGTTTCTGGGTCTATCCCAACCTTCCAAAGCCCATTCTAGAGCTGCTAGGAATCTGGGCTTCTGTTGGGTTGTCGGAAAAGACATGACATGTTTTTCTATGCAAAAAATGCACCATGACTTTTCCAGTGACCCGACAGAAGCACATGGGTGACCCTTATGTACCGGCAGCTGACTCAGGCTACACCAGGAGACACTGCTGACCTCTCAAAACTCTTCCAAGATCACCAGAACCAGAAGGAGCTGCCCCTCAGCAGCCCAGGTGCCAAGTCCCAGTTGTCAGGGATCCACCCGCAAGCAGTGCACTCATGGGGCACCTGCTTGGCCCGCAGTGGCCGGCGGCCACACTTGTTCCCAGCTAAGTGCTGAGATTCATCAGACCACCTCGCCTGTTCTGAAATAGGAAAAGCCGCGTGTCCGTGTGTTATTTATTTACACTTGTCTGTGTGCTCCCTGCACACCGTGCACAGCCACGGAGGTTTGTGGTTTGGGTGCACAGTCTGTGCCTGGCAAGAGATTCCTTTTCTATTTTTTTACATCGTTACGTGTTTGTGTACGGGGAAGGCAAGTTCGGAATCACTGAGGCAGGCTGAGACCAGCGCTCTGAAACCTTGAAATGGGAGGGCAAAGCAGTGGAAGGAAATAAAAGCCTTTTTATGTTCTTATGTCCTTGGCTCAAAAAGAAGGGAATGCGAGAATGAAAAACAAAACAAAGGACAAAAGCCGGGTTGGGCTGGAGTTAGAACCAGAACTTTATTGTAGCATACACACTTTCGGGCCTATCATCGGTACACACGTCTGAAGGGTGCATGGTGGCTGCGGTTGGCGGGAGGACGTCCCCTCTCGTCAGCGTCTATCACCGTCTAATGGAGCAGCTACAGGACGGGACATGGGTGGCGACACTACACAGCACAGCCGTCAGCGTCCTCCAAACTAGCAGTGAGGGTCACAGAACAGCATTCAAAACGACGTCCCCCCAGTTCTAGGAGTCAGATTGTACACAGAAATGAGCTGCGCGGTGTGGGTCTGGACCTCGGCACTCCACTCCCTTCCCCCCACCCCAGGCACAGCGGTGGGGCTCCTGGCTGCGGGGTGTGGATTTTAGCCTACAGAAGGCAGGGGGCACCCTACAGGGGCTCTGTGGAGGAAGACTTTTGGAAAATTCTAGCACTTCTGCCTTTGGGCCACAGGGTCCTTTCGGATGTCGTGAGTACGGGTTCCTCAGGCCTGTTGCTGTCTGCAAACCGAGTGGCCAAAGGAGCGAGGGCAGCCGTCAGTTTGCACTCTACACGCTTTCACCAGCAGGGCGTTAGCAGGAGAAACCACGGGCTGTGGGCCGTGAGTTCAGGCTCCTACACAGGCACAGGCTGCTGCGGCCGCTGCGGGGACCGGAGCGGCGTGTGACAGAGGCCGGGAGCCCTGCAGCCCCGCCGCCAGTGCCAAGTAGAAACAGGTGGAGTCTCAAAGAACAGACCTGGCTGTGTCCAGCCTCCAGGGGGACTCCAGATTCGGCCCCCTGGGCAGCACACCAAAGCCTGTGGCCCCTGACACGCGGGCTGCACTCGGGGACCTCAGAGAAGGCCTGAGTGGGGCAGGCCCTGTCGTGCCTTCTTTGGGAAGGGGGGCGGGGACACGGTGGGAGAGGCAGGAGCCCACAGGGTCTCTCCTGTGCTCAGCTTCCTGCACTTCACTGTACAGCCCAGTCCTGGATTACACTAGCACAAAGGACACAAAGAATCCCGATTTATTTACAAAATATTAAAAAGTCAGTTAATCATCTACATAGTAACCCCATTCTGCCATTTTATACATGCACTAGTTTGGAAAAAATAAAAACTTTTTTTAAAAAAAAAGAAAAAAATGATTAGCGGGTGGGGATGCGCAAGTTTACCCTTCGTCAGCAAGTCCAGTCGTGGCGGCTTTCCTGGAGGTGCGAGGGGCCCATGTCCCGCCGGGGCCGAGGGGGACCCCGGCTGGACACAGGGGGGGACCCTGCAGGAGCCGGGCTCCGGCTGAGAGGAAGTGCCAGCTCCTCGCAGAATGTACAAGAGCAGTCCAGGCGGAGGGCGGCGGAGGGCGGGAACCTAGGTTCTACACACCGAGCACGGACGCAGCAATGGGAGGGGCCTGCAGACCTACTGGCCAAATGACTTTGTACACCGTGGACCCTTAGGGCTGGGACAGGGACAGCGGCAGAGTCTGCTGAAGCAGAGAAAGGCGGCACCGGGCTGGCGGGCAGGCCGTGTCAGTAGCTGAGGGTGGAGTCGTCCCACTCCAGCTGCTGCTGCCTGTTCACGTTCTGGGGGTCTCCCCGCTCCCCTTCCTCCTCCTCGCTGCTCTCCGACTCCGCACTGGTGATGTCATCCTCCTCCTCCCCATCCTCGCTCTCCTCCTCCTCCTCCTCTTCCTCCTCCTCCTCGCTGCTGTGCTGGTCCTCGTATGTCTGGCAGAGAGAGGCCTCGTGAGTGCAGCCCCCATCCTGCCCACGACCTATCTGGAGCCTCACAGGAAGGGAAGGTCTCTGTAAGGACTCACTTCCTGAGAGAGGGGCCTGCAAGTTGTCATATGAAAGGTCAAAGGGCAAACAGGGCTCTGAGTGCTACCCTGGGGCCACAGCTGGTCTAAGAGCTGGGTTTATGCAGCAGGAGTTCCAGGCCCGCGGGGAGCGCCCCTCTACACTCATGACCATGAACAAGGCCTCTCGGGGCCTCGGCCTGTACATCTGAGAAACAGGGACTCCTAACCTCCCAGAGCTGTAGTGTGGGTGACATGACAGACAGCTCAGACACCAAGGGCCGTGGTCCTGCTGGCTTCACCAAGCCTTGCTCTGGCCCCGGCCTGCGCTGTCTTTCAGCTCTCGCTCTCCTACCTCCATGGGGTTGACGGTGATAGTCAGGGCGGAGTCGTCCCAGTCCATCTCGTTCTCCTTCCCTGTGTCCTGGTCCCGCATGGTTCGCTGATGCGCGGCCCGGATCCGAAACACCCCCAGGATAATCATGAAGACCAGGAAGCTGACACAAACTACAATCACGACAGTCGCGGTGCTGGGGACAACTGTAATGGGAGGGAAAGGAAACGGAGTTTTAGTGACACAGCTAACCCCAGAGGGTGGTAACGCCTGGGTCTACGGCTACGCTGGGGCTACACGGGCTGGTCAGAATGCTTCGTCTGGCCCCAGGAGACTAAGGAGAAACACTAGAAAAAGCTCCGTGTAGGTTTCAAATCTGATGTGGGCACATACTGCCCTGCGGCTGCGTGTGTCATTGGTGTGTGATAGGATGTGACAGGGACATGGATTAGGCCTGAGCAGGCTCTGTGCACACAGCAAGGTGTAGCAGGGGCCTCCACCTGGACCTGCTCGGGCATCGTGGATCCAGGTGCCGCCCCTGCTGCTCTACCTGCAAAAGGGTGAGGATTGGCCAGGTTGTGGCCGGACAGGTCGACGAAGGAGCGATGTTCAGGGTGAACGAACTGCGGCTGGGCGGCCATGTGGTTGGCGTGTTCCACAGGGTTGGCTGTGTGGATGACGTTCACCTAAGCAGAGAGAGGGAGGGTCACTGGAAAGTGGCATCCTGGGTAAGTCTAAAAGATGAGAAAGGAATTTAGCAGTGGGCATGGTCAAGGCCACTCTCAGTGGTCCCTGGACCAGCCCCTGCATGAGAAAAGGACAGGAAAAACTCAAGAGTAAGCACCTAGAAACCTGCAACAACTGATATTATCACACATCCATGAAACAGACTGCTTTTCTAACAATTCTTTTTAAAACAAAGTTATATTTTATCCATGACAGAGAGCATGCTTATGAGACAGAAGAGGGAGGGAGGGGGCACCCTCGCCAGGGTCCCTTTTCCCCACTCTCCACCTTGTCAGGATCGTGCCATGCTGGGGTCCAAACCTGCAGCCAGCCATGAGGCCTCTAGTACTGTGCTTCGGCCCACTGCTGACTAGTTATGAGGCCTAGGCTGGGTCACATAGCTAATTTTTATTGCATTTTATAAAAGATCTGTCCAGGGCCAGCAGCTGGTGTGGTGGTTAAAGCCCTGGACTTCCATATGGACAAGCGCAGTCTGAGTCCTGGATGCCCTGGCTTGTAATTACGGAGGGCACGCGTGTGTGTGTGTAGCCAAAGTCCTGAGAGGGGAATGGAGAAGAGATGGTGGTGTGGCCACCCACCCGGAGGGAGATTTCTCTTTTCCCCTCTGTCTCACACACACTCTCTGGTGAGCACACATACCCCCTGCCAAAAACCTTTAAAAAAAAAATACAGGGGGACCAGCAATTAGCGTAATGGCCATGTCGCTGGACTCCCACGTAGTTGACTGCGGTTCGCGTCCCGGACCCGGTGGCTTAGAACTCACGCCGGGCGCGTGTGCGTGCGTGCCCAAGATCCCGAGAGGAGAATGGAGGAGAAGGGATTGCGGCGTGACCATCCCCCCTGGGGGGTGATTTCTCGCTTTCTGTCTCTATGTCTCTCTCTGCCTGGCGAGCGCATGCACCCTATACCAAATACCTCTCAAAAAAATATATATGAAAGCATAATTTTTGTATTACGTTTAACCCGTCTACAACAGAGTGGACGCACAAGCCACTGGGCCTCTCCACGGCTGCGGAAAGCACCAGCACTTTCTTCCTTTGCTGCTGACCGGAAGGTAACAAAACACCATAACCGTTATATTTGTTTCTAAATCAGATACCTTCGCTATAGCAAAATATCGCTGGTTCACGGCACTGTGAACTTTACATTCTGCTGCTACTGAGTTCACAGTGTGGCTGGAGAGTTGCTAAGAATAACTTTGGGCCCACGTTCCCAGCCATAGAGGCCCTGAGCAATGAAGTCACTGTGTATGTCAGCGGGAGACTTTCGAGGACACTCTGCTCTCTGGCCGCTGTGGCCTGTGAGTCCCCGCTGCCTGCCTCAGCAGCGCCAGTCCTGCCTGGCTCTGCGTCAGCAGCTATCAGCCTGGGCTGAGGGCCTGACACTATTCCTAACAGGACCAGGGATCTAGCACCACTATAAGAACCTTTGGGTCCCTGGGTGCCACTCTTTCTAAAGCAGCTTCCTCATGTCTCTCACACGTGGGGAATCTCAGGAAATGACTGCATCCCTACCCCGGGGCATTAACCATCACTTTCCCTTTACCCTCTGCCTCCAAGGGTCCTTAAGACTCGGAATTTGGGGCTGAGCCAGCCAGTGAAAAGGGAACACCCTCTGTGCTCCAGCCTGCCCCACACATAGCCTACTACTCTAAACCTACATGGGTCTAACCTGCAGCAGACCCCAGCCTGGAAATGGCCACTATCCCAGTGGCTCTAAAGAGATGCCACCAGGACTGCTCTAAGAATTGGCATTTGCAAACATCAGGGCACTCAGTGGTCACTGTTGCTGGCCCTGTACTCACCTCTACCTTAAATTCATTGCTGATATAGCGGCCATTGAGCTCTGAGCAGACGAGCTTGAACTTCCGGTCAAGCAAGGACCTGGTATGCCAGTTCCGATAGCGCAGGAGGTGCAAAACCTCCTCATAGCTGGCCATGGTATCCACGCCTGCAGGAGCGGAGGGAGACAAGGGTGTAGGTGGGTTAAGCTAAGAACTGGGCTGGGCCGTGACCCTGGCACGGGCAAGCTACAGTCCAGCACCTAGGTCGTCCGAACAACAGGTCACACGTTTTTGGTTTTGTAATTTCAGGAACAAATGCAAGGTGTAAGGGATACTTTTCCTCCAGGGCAGGGAGGGGGTGACATCACGTATAAGCGGATGCCTGCACTTATCCCTCCTGTCGGGGGTTAAGCCTGTAGACAACGCAGACCCGTGAATGCACTCCTTCTCCACCTCCTCCAGAAAACTGCGTTCTCGGAGGGCAGAAGGCAGGGGGCCAAGAGTTTCCGACTCCCCGTTCCAGCCACTCCTCTCACCTGTGAAGACCACGCCCAGGTCAGAGCTGCTCATTTCCAGGCCTTTCTGCTGCAGGCGGGCCCCGTCCACCTCCAGGCTCTCCTGCTCCGGGTTCAGCTCCTCTCCCTCCACCGAGACCTCACAGGTGTCCAGGTCATGCACAATCTCCTCAGATACCAGTGATTCTTGAACTGCAAAAATGGCCCAACCAGAAATAGAGGCTATTTAGTGGGAGCCAGTGAGACAACTCACATCCGACAGTCCACCAGCTGATGCTCAAACTCCACAGAGCCCTTCTGAGGACCAGTGACATGGGGGAGGGGGTTCCTTTTAAAAACTGGAGGTCCTGGGACCAGCAGATAGCATAATGGTTGCATCACTGGATTCCCATGTAGTCAACCATGGTTCGAGTCCCAGACCCAGTGTCTTAAAACTGATGCCAGATGCATGTGCGTGAATGCCCAAGATCCCAAGAGGAGACCGGAGGAGAAGGACTGCGGTGTGGCCATCCCCCCTGGGGGGCGATTTCTCACTTTCTGTCTCTTTGTCAAGCACGCATTCCCTATAGCAAAAATCTCTCTTAAAAAAAAAAAAAAAGAAGAAGAAAGAAAGAAAAAAAAGAAAATAACTGGGATTCCTTCATGTGTTGAGTGAGAGGGGTGAGGCCAATGTACCCATTTTTTTTCAGCAGGAACACAGTTCTGGGCCTAGGGAGAAGCAGCGGGTCCCGCACTGGCCTCCCTCCCAACCACAAACTTTATCTCGGAGCCTGACAACAGCTGGAAAACGATGAAAGAACCCTCCAGGTGCATTTCCAAAGATCATAATGAGTTCCAGCTCACAGAAGACCCAAGAACAGTTATAAAGCATGAAACTCCCCCCCCCCCCAAAGAGTCAAATACGGCAGTGGCAGCACAAGCCAGACTGTTCTGCACAGGGGAGTTACCTGTGGGGTCCTCAGACCCGTCCCCTTCTGGCTCCACTTCTCTTGTAATGGTGCTGATGATTCGCAGCTCAGGGAAAAGGAAAACACCTTCTGAGCTTTCAAATTCAGAAGCCGCTCGAGCAAAGTGGTGGATACCACTCAGGCTGATCTTGGGCTCTTCAGGCTGCAAAACCATCACGTAGCCATCCACTGGGGGGACTGAGATGCAGGCAGCCTCATTAAAGCACCTGCCAGCAAGAACCACAGAGAGGAAGGAAGGGTTAGAGGTCTGAGAGCCCGTCACAGAGCCCCTGTGTGCAAAGGCAGATGGAGGGAGATACACACTGCCGTGGATATCCAGAGCGGACGGGACAGAGGCCGCTCCAGGAACAAGCTTCCAAGGAGAAATAAGACTGACCCTCACGCTTTTAGCCATGAGTGACGGCTCACCTCTCATTACAGAAGGGAGGCTAGATTGTCTTAAAAACCTAGAAAGTGGTGCCCGCAGGTGGCATAGTGGTTAAGGCACTGGACTCTCACATAGCCAATTGTGGTTTAAGTCCTGGACCCAGAGGCTTAAAACCCATGCTAGGCACACATGCATGCCCAAAATCCCAAGAAGAGAATGGAGGAGAAGGGACTACGGCTTGGCCAACCCCCTAGGGGGTGATTTTCTCGCTTTCTCTCTGTCTCTGTCTCTCTGGAGAGCCTCATGCACTAAAAGCAAAACTCTCTCTCTCTCTCTCTCTCTCTCACACACACACACACACACACACACACACACACACAGCTAGAATGTATATCTTTGCTTCTGAACTGTTCCTGAGTACAAAAGGTTTATTGTTAAAAATCAAGACATACTTGACTGTGCTGGTGATTTTGAGCCTTCGGATTCCAGGTGTGGGGAACTGCCGCGAGTTCAGGTAGGAGACGTGCTGCATGGCCTTATCCAGCTCCCTGACATCTTCTCCCTCCAAGGTCAGCACCGACTGGCTGGGGTTTGCTTGGATCTGAACTCATACCAAGCAGAGAGAGGAGATGAGGAATAAGATTCTAACTGCAAAGAGCTAAAAGCGTGGGTGCTTTGACAAAGAGGATTAGCTGAGTCTGATCTGACTTGGTGACATGAAAAAGAAAAGCTCACATAATCCCAGTGATCAACAGTAGTATCTAAAGTGTTGGGACCAGCAGATGGCATAGTGGCTACATCGCTGGACTCCCACATGGCCGACCATGGTCTGAGTCCCAGATCTGGTGGCTTTAAACTCACACTGAGTGTGTATGCACGCGTGCATGTGTACCCAAGATCCTAGGAGAACGGAAAAGGAATTATGGTGTACTCATCCCCCTAGGGGGGTGATTTCTCACTTTCTGTCTCTTTCACTGTCTCTCTGGTGAGTGTATGCGCCCTACAGCAAAAATCTCTCTCTCTTTTTTGGAGAGGTTTTTGCTATAGGGCACGTGCACTTGCCAGAAAGACAGAAACAGAGAGACAGAAAGTGAGAAATCACCCCCAGGGAGGATGGCCACGCCACAATCCCTTCTTCATTCTCCTTTCGGGATCTTGAGCACGCACGCACATGCACCCGGCATGAGTTCAAGCCACCGAGTCTGGGAATCGAACCGCGGTTGACTACATGGGAGTCCAGTGACATAGCCATTATGCCTACTGCTGGTCCCGCAAAAACTCACGGAACCTAGCGATTATCCCTACTGCGGGTCCAGCAAAAACTTCTCTCTTAAAAAAAAAAAAAAAGTGTAAGAACACTCCTTCACCTCATGGCCTCTCTATCTATGGTCTAAAAGCCCCAGAATGCCTGGCAGGTGAGCCCGCAGCACTACCTGCACGCCTCTGCCGCCGTCCTCGGGCACTTGAAGGTCTAGTCCCTCTTTGCAGGTGTACAGGCAGTCGATCACCTTCTTATCAGCAAGTTTCCCGGAACGGATAGTCAGGCCAGCCAGATTGCCTCGGAAGAACTGAGCCATGTGCAGGTCACCACCTTGGGGATGGGGAAAAAGCAGTCAGGTTGTGGCCTGGATGCTCCCGGTTCACTCCTCAATGCAGTGTTACCAGAGTGGCAGCCCGATGGATGGACATGCGGGTTAGTTTGTACCAAATCCTGTTAGCCTTGCAATCTACATGGAAGCATGATGAAGAAATTAAATAGTTTATGAACATGCACATGGCCTGGAGAAATCGGGGTCCCTCACCCAAAGCCCAGAGCTAAGAGGTCCCATGAGTGTCCCCAAACATCCCGCCACTCTGTGGCAATGAGGGCCTGCTCCACAACTATAGCTATGGAGCCCAGGGACACCTCCTCAGCCAGCTGGGTCACACCGTGGACCTCTCTCCCAAGTGTCCTGAGACACTTGGGAAAATACACATTTGGGGAGGGCCTACACAAACATGGCTGAACCACCACAGTGGTGCCCAGGGCCACCCCTGCACTCACAGGCCTGCACACCCAGGCCTTTCAGAGAGTGCTGCTTGGTTGCTGCCAGCATTCCTACCTCCCCTGCTGAGGGTAACTGGGCAATGACAATGTGACGAGGACAAAAACTGAGAAAATGGCCCTTGGCAGACTACAAAAAAGAGCCCAAAACAGGTGACACTAAACCTTGTTTTAAACTGATAAAGGAGAAGAAACAAATTTCCACCCATGTGTCTCATTCTGATAAGGGCGTGAGACATTGTAAATCATCACTAGGATCGAAATTTCTAAGAAACATCTACTTAAAATTTAGTTATCGATCAGGACAGAATATCTAGAAACAAGTCTTTTCCTGTCTCGTGGTTCAGCCCATGAGAACCACGAGGTAGCCTCCCAAACCTGGCCTGTGAGACTTTAGCAGAGAGAGCCTCATGCAGTGGACTCAGGGTATACTTCTGGGGGGAAGGGAGAGTACATTCCACGAGTGAGTTATCAGCCCGCACTTCAATGGGACCAGAACGGGCAGGAAGTGGGGAACCCGTGAAGCGACGGGGAAGCAGGATGCAGAGCGGCAGCTCAATGGCGTCTGGGACCAAAATGCAACTGGGCATTTCATGCAACATGTGGAATGATCAACCAAAATGCCTCCTCTTTAAATGAAACACAACAGTGAACTGTAAGGGTAAAGCTCCAGCCACCTGCAGAGGCCATAGTCACAGGCTCAGTTTCATTGTCATTTTCAACTCCTGAATACTCTGTGGAAAAGCAAGACAAAGACAATAGAAAATGACCAAGAGGTTAGAGCTTTCACACTGGACCTTGAAAATCAGTTTTGAAGCAACCAAATAGAAAATGCAGAGAAAATTCCCTCTCGTTCCTCTTTGGGACATTCTCCACTTGGAATGCAAGCTTGTACCTGCCTTTTCTCAGAAGCAATGATTACAACCCTCAGCCCTATGTTCCTTTCTTACTCCAACTTCCCATATCCTCCTTGCCCAAACACAGGTTAGACTCTTTTTCTTTTTTCTTTCTTTTTTTTTTTTTTAATGAGAAGATTTTTTAGCTATAGGGCGCGTGCGCTTGCCAGACAGACAGAGACATAGAGACAGAAAGGGAGAAATCACCCCCCAGGGGGATGGTCATGCCGTAATTCCTTCTCCTCCATTCTCCTCTCGGGATCTTGGGCACGCACACACACACGTCTGGCATGAGTTTTAAGCCACCGGGTCCGGGACGCGAACCGCGGTCAACTACGTGGGAGTCCAGCAACATAGCCATTACGCTAACTGCTGGTTCCCCAGGTTAGATTCAAAATGAGCTGAATAAAAGCATGTTGGGGCCAGCAGGTGGCACAGTAGTTAAGGCACTGGACTCCCACATACAGGACCATGGTTCAAGTCTTGGCTCTAGCGGCTTGTAACTCATGCCGAGTGTGCGTGCGTGCATGCCCAAAATTCCGAGAGAATGGAGAAGGGATTGCAGCATGGACAACCTTTCTAGGGGGTGATTTCACACTTTCCTTCTCATGGTCTCTTTTTGCCTCTCTAGCGAGCAGATATGCCCTATCTAGCAAAAATATAAAAAAAAAAAGAAAAGAAAAACACGTGCATCAAATTCACTGATTTCCCCCGTCTGTGTTCCAAGGACACTCCTGGGGCCATGCTGCTGACTGGAGGCAGTGTGCGCCCCATCACTGAGGCCTGGGCTCACGGCACCTCTCCTCCTGACAGGGAAACATCTCATGCAGACAAAATGGGACGGCATACACAAGTGTCCCAAGTCTGTAATAGGCAAACAGGTTTGTATCTGGGGGAAATGCAAGGCCGGTTTTTATCTGTATAGACTTTAACCTGTAAATGACAAAAATATATATTTTTTAGCTTCTAGACAGGATCACCCCTTATTGGGATCCTCCTCCTCTGCCTCCTGAGTAGATGGGGCCACGCTGCACACCAGCACACCCAGCTCTTTCAGACAGGATCTTGCCACGCAGTCCACACTGGCCCTGAACGCACCACCCTCCCCGCTCAGCTCAGACTCCAGGCCTGCATCACCATGCCCTGCTTTCTTTTTTTAAATAATTATTTTAACTTTATTTCACTTTTAATTTGGCCATAGAGGGACAGGGCGAGCGAGTGAGCGAGCAAGAGAGAGCTAGAGTGAGAGAGAGAGAAAGTGAGAAAGCAAGTCGCCAGGTCCAGGACTCGAACGGCAGTGGCCATGTGGGTGTTCAGTATCATAAGCACCACGCCACCTGCCGGCCCCCCACCATGCCCAGCTTTTAATGTGAGCCAAGCATCAAACCTGGGCTCCCCATATGGCTTCGGACTGTGAACAGTAGCATCGACCAGCACCGGCTGCCGCAGCTGGCCCTAGCAGACACTAAGCGCTTTTTCTGAGCAGAAAGGGAGACTGAGAGGTTAAGGAACTCACCCAGAGAAACAGTCCACGGCCCGTGTCTGCAGCACAATGCCCTCCTTCAGAGCATGCACCCAGAGCTGAGCACAGCCCCACCGCTGCCCAGATCACGAGCAGGGGCTCTGCTCGATGGCCCCCAGCACTGGCCTCTCTGGGCTGCTGCAGAAGTGTGCGGACTGCCCGGGCGAAGCCTGCATGAGATACAGCAGCTGCTGCCACCCAGTACCCCACGTCCTCCCTGACCCAGTCATGTCGACTGCCTTAGCTGACGGAGACGACGCTGCTGCCCACAGCCCAGGCTGCCTGGGGAATTTGCAGGGGAAATGGTTTTGAATCCACTGAAATGGAAAAGAAGGTCCTCCTCCCTGGTAACTACATTTTAAAGCATTTGTGCATGTTCGGTTTGGGAATTTAGGAGGGTTTTTTGACTGTGGATGTAGAGAGGGCTAAGATGGGAAGGGATGAAAAGTAATTGCTGTTTAATGGCAGAGTTAACAGGACATGAACAGAGGCAGGGTGGGACACAGTGGTTTATTTTAACCAAAGCAACAGAACTCCTAGAATGTAGTTACATTTAGATTTATACTTGTATTTTTATTCATAGTTATTTAATTAAGAAGTTACTATTTAATCTGGGAAGCAAATCTAAATTAAGCTTTTTTTTTTTTTTTTGTCATAGGGCGTGTGCACTCCTTAGGGAGAGATGGGGAGAGAAAGTGAGAAATCATCCCTTCGGGGGAGGATGGCCACACTGCAGTTCTTTCTCCTCCAGTCTCCTTTTGGGATTTTGGGCACATATACATACGTGCCCAGTGCGTTTTTCTCAGGCCATTTGGATCTGGGACTTGAACCATGGAGTCAGCCATGTGGGATCCAGCTGCCTTAACCTTGATGCCACCTGCTATCCCCTAAACTGAACTTTCAAGAATATCAGTGAGAGCCAGTGGCATGGTGCTTAGGGTAGCTGGGTCCCACATGCCAACGTCACAGTTCAATGGAGTCCCAGACTTGGTAGCTTACGAAACACTCTGGGAGTGTGTGTGCACGCCCACCATGTCAACAGGAGAGAGAAATGGAGGACGAGGGACTGGGATATGGCCATCCCCATGGAGGGCTCTTCCCCCCCCCCCACCACTCATCTTGAGGACACACGTGCCCCATGGCAAGTTTACAAAGTGGGGCTCAGAAACCTCCAATGTAAACCAAGAAGTCTATGAACTTGAATGGAAAAATGATATGCTTATTTCCACTAACTTCTAAAATTCAGTATTTCTTTTGGTTATGGATGTACACTACAAATCATGGCAGTATTAGCAGTAACTGCCCTTTGTCACCAAGAGAAACCACTGAGACTTTCCTGTCTTGGTATGGCTTTTGCAGCTATCACAACATATTGTCGCCACTTTGAAAGTATGACTATTATTGAACCTGTGGCTAAAGCGTGCTCTTCATTGGCTAACAAAGCACAGCAGCCACTGCTCCTTCACTAAGTTAACCTCCTAGAGCCCTGATAGTACATTTCAATTTGGTTGGTTATCTTTGAAATCCTATGTATTTTATTTCATAATTAATAAGAAATTATTCTGAGAAGGGGTCCATAGACTTTACTGGGTCACCAAAGGGTTTCATGGCACAAAAAAGGTTCAAAACTCGCATGTGGGGAGCCAGAGGATGGCATGGCGGTTAGGACAACTGGACCCAACATCATCAACCAGGAGGGGCTTCGGGAACTTGCCTGAAATAAATGTGCACGTGCCCAAAATCCTGAGAGGAGAATGGAGAAGGGACTGCTGTGTGGACGACCCCACTGCGGTGTGCTTTGTCACTTTCCCTCTCTCTGTGTCTCGGACAAGCATGCTAGCAAAAATTAAAAACAAAAACCAACTCCTGGGCTGATAGCTCACAGTGTAGGTCCTGAGTATGCTGGCTCTTCAGGTTCAAATCCTACTCCATGATTAATCAGCTGAGAGCCCTGTGCTTATCACTTTTCCAAGCCTCAGTTTCTTCAGCTCTAAAACAGGACTAAGTGAGATAATGATGTGGAGTGGCAACGAGCCTGCCACTCAATGGTACAGACTAGCCCTGCAGTACTGCTGCTCTAGTGACAATCCTCACGTCCTCTCCCCGGTCTCTCAGCAGAGGTTTCTGTGCAATTTTCCCCAGAAACGGCACTTACTGAAAGTGAGTGGCTCCCTTACCGAGCTCCTACCCGGCCATTAAGAGCTAAACACTCTGGAAGAGTCCTCAGGTCCAATGCATGCTGATGTTTCTGTGTCCTTTATTTTTATGCCTGACTGTTCATGGTTCTCTCTCTGACCTTATTAATTTTTCAATAAACAGATCATTTATAAAATACTTCCAGCAAAAAGACTCTGTCAACGGCCCTGCTCAGGTTCCCAGGGAAGGTGACGGTGCATTTCAGTCCTACGGTGCACCTTTTAGCAAGTGCCCATGGACAGAGCTATGCTATGGTATGGGACCAGCTGTCCCCAAAAAGGCTATACACAGCCAAAGGAAGGACAATAAAGGAAATGAGGATGAAGGTCATAAGATGCTGACGGGAGCCTATTTCTTTCTGCTCTAGCCACTGTAATGGGATTAAGAGGGTGAAAATTTGATTCGATTACGATGTTGAAAGGTAGAGCTTTTCAACTGCCAGAGAGTGTATCTGCTTGTCAGAGAGAAACGGGGTGCAGTGCAGGGGAAAGGGAGAAAGCACCCCCCAGTGGGGTGTGGTCACACCATAATCCCTCGTCCTCCATTTCTCCATCTGACGCGTGAGCGCCTTCTTTTCGGATCAGCCTTCGCCATCCTTTCCCCGTGACGTGACCTTTGTATGTCTCGTGAAAGTTCCTTACTGATTATAACTGTCTTTCCTGATAACTCGCTTTTTGGCTTTTGTAAACCCTGTCACATAATTCAAGGCTTGTAGTTTTATTGTGGTTTGTGCTTTTTTGTTTTTGTTTTTGTTCTGCTTTTGTGGTTTTTGCCTTTATAAACCTTCCTCCCCGCTGCTTTAGGGCTGCAAAGTTGAGGAGTGACTCGCAGTCAGCTCAGCTAGTAAAGACTCCTTTAATTTGGCTAAAACTAGATGTCCTCTTACTTTCTCGCTGGTTTGAATACAACGCATCCTGTTAGATTTTGGGCACACACACATGCCTGGTGTGTTTTTCAAGCAGCCAGAGCTGGGATTTGAACCATGATCATTCTTGGGACCAGCAGATGGCATAATGGTTATGTGCTGGACTTCTACGTAGTTGACTGATTTGAGTCCTGTACTCGGCAGCTTAAAACTCAGACCAGTCACGTATGCATGCATGCCCAAGATCCCGAGAGGAGAATGGAGGAGAAGATACGACAGTGTGGCCATTCCCACTGGAGGGTGACTTCTCACTTTCTGTCTCTTTGTCTCTTGGTCAGCGCACGTACCCTACAGCAAAAAATCTCTCTCAAAAAAAAAAAAAAAAAAAAAAAAAAAAAAAGAATGAACCATGGTCATTCTTTATACTAATCTATCTACTTTTATGGATATCTGAAACTTCCCACGATACAATGTTTAAAAATAAATAATCAGGAGCTGGCAGGGGGTGTGGTGGTTAAGGCGCTGGATTCCCACATGATTAGAGTCCTGGACCTGGCAGTTTGCTTTCTTACTTTCTCTCTCTCTCTCTTTCTCTCTCTCTCTCTGGTCAAATTAAAAAACAATAATAAGGGGGTTGGCAGTGGCGTGGTGGTTAAGGGTGCTTGACTCTCACATGTCCGCC